CTAACTTTCATGAGTTGACTCTGGATAAGTAATTCTTTAGCTAGTAGAATTTCTACTGGAAATTTGTACAGGAACCATTTGTCAAGAAAGTCAGTCAATTCAAGGACTTTGATTTCAGGGAAAATCAAATTATTGGTATTTATACACATCTGTGAAGTCAAGTACTATGTTGATATATGGATTTATGAATGCATCCATCCATCTGCCCTGATTAAATGCAGCTTTAAGGAGAGAATGTGTAGTTTATTGCAGTACCTAAAATATTATGCTTAGATGTGGAAATCCAGATGCAAATCTCTCAGCCGTGAATCTCAGTGAAAGGCCTTGACCGAATCAACGTTTTAGGAAGGAGGACTTAATAGAAAAATAACAAATAGTGTGGGGCATTCCATTTAAAATGAAGAGGAAAGCAGGGCATAATTAAATTAAGTTAGGAAGGTTTATGTTATAGAATACAGAATATAGTATTAAATATGTACAGATATCTGCACCAAACAGGATAGTAGGTGGGATCAGTGTATGAGAGTAGAGAGGATTTCTACTCATTCACAGAATAAGACACAAAATTTCTGGCAGTGCCCTCTCATGAGACATAAAATTATGCAGGAGATGGGTAAAGTGGATAGAGGGAAGCTCTTTTCCCTCTCACACAATACCAGAACCAGAGGACTCAAATTGAGTGTTGGGAGAGTGAGAACAGACAAAAGAAAATATTTCTTTACCCAGCATGTTTTAGTGTGTGGAACTCCTTGCCACAGGATGTGGTGATGGCATCTGGCGTAGATGCCTTTAAAAGGGGATTGGACAGATTCCTGGAGGAAAAATCCATCTCGGGCTACAAGCCGTGATGGGGATGTATAATCTCCAGGCCTAAAAGGAAGGTACAGTGGTGCCTCGCATAACGAGCGCACTGTTTAACGACGAATCCACATAGCGATCTATTTTTTAAGATCACTAATGCGATCGCATTGCGATGTTTTAATGGGCAAAACATCGCATTGCGATGATCGGTAAGCGTTTCGCTTACCGATCTTCGCATTCCGATGTTCCTAAAACAGCTGATCGGCAGTTCCAAAATGGCCGCCGGGTGCCCAAAATGGCCGCCGCAACCATTTTCGCGCGGTTTCCTCGCTTATCAAGGGTGCGAAAATGGCGGCGCTATGGAGGAACTTCGCTGAATGGTGAGTTTGGGCCCCAATGTGTTCCTATGGTTTTTTCCGTTCCTTTTAGCAATGTTTCCACATAGCGACGATTAATCTGGAACGGATTAACGTCGCTATGCAGGGCACCACTGTACTTCAAAATGCCAGATGCAGGGGAGGGAGAATAGGAGACATGTATCTAGTTGTCTTGTGTGCTCCCAGGGGCATGTGGTGGGGCCAGTGTGAGATACAAGAAGCTGGACTAGATGGGCCCTTGGCCTGATCCAGCAGGGCTCTTCTTATGATCTTATATGTCACAAGATGCTGCTTTGGACATCATTCTGATTTTTCTAGGGCCTCATATTTGAAAATATATGGAGGGCTATCATTTGTAGAAGGGCTTAGACAGAGTCAATTGGAATCCCAGCCTACAATGCATGAGTTTTACACATGATTATTACAAACTTTGGTTACAGTGGTGGTTCACAGCTTGACAACATATGTCTGTATATTGAATATGTCAGCTTCAGGGGATGGAATGCCCTTTGGCTTTTCAGTCTGTCATACCTTGATATGGGATTAGGGTTTAACAGGATCTTATGTGCTTCCTTCATGTATATTGAGCTGCAAGTAAAAGTGAAGTCCACAAATAAGGATCCTCATATGCCTTATTATCTTCCTTCCCAAAATAAGCTCTGTGAGTTATGCTTGTTTCCAGAAGCATCTTGTGCTCTCATGACGCAACCAGAACCCTGGGACTCAACAGTTGTAATGCCATTACTTTACTTACAGTATTTATGGAAAAAATTATATATCTTGGCCCCTTACAACATAAGAATTTTTTTTTACAAAAAATGAAACCATATTTACTCTTAGAATGTGGCAGTGTGATGACAGTAATGTGTCAATGCTGAAAATCTGGAGTGAATTTTGTGGATGATGCCTGGCTCCCTCCCTCCCCACATTTAAAAGGCACTTACAAACACTGTTATACATAGTGAGGCCTTTTTGGGCAATCACACTTGACTCTCCCCCCCCCCATTTTGCCTTCCATTCCATGTTTTATTTTTTAATATTTTTTTAAACAATACTCAGCTCTTGAAGGTTTTGTGGCTTGTTTAACTATTTAAAAAATGTAACAATTTTATTTTATTTTTATATGATGCTTACATATTTTAACTTGCTGTAAACCATCCAGAGTAGTGCATTGCACAAATGAGGTGATATTTCAATCAAAATAAATAGTCACATAGTTCGTAGTTTCCAGCTTATTAGACCTAAACAGGCAAATAGTAGCAATAACATTGTTAACATTCATCGTTGCTTTTCTGAGATTCTTTTTTCGATAATTTGCTTGAGATGACATTCATGTGTCAATATCAATTTTTATGACCTTGGTACACATTCATTGTAACTGGCACTATTTCTTTGTGTTCTTGCAGCAAGGGAGGATGGAAGTCACATACATTTGTGTAAAGGTGGTGTGTATTTGGTTATACAGTAAACTAATCTGTTTCTGAACAATGCAGTGCTGATGCTAGAATGCACTGTTTCCTTCTGTTGAAATTCAGAGCTGTATGTCTCAGGTAGTCTGTTGATCATTCTTTTACCTAGCTTTTTCCTCCCAGGTATGGTGAAGGATGTAGTCACATCAAAATCATTGAAATAATATTCAGTGCTAATTCTGTGGGGTTTTGTAGGTATAGGGAGAGCGAGCAACATCTTGATTTTCACTGCAGATAGCAAAATGTCTTGGGCCAACCCTGGAACAATGAGACCTGATCTGTTTTGTATCAATTTAGAACCTAATATAGATTTCCCCCCTCCTTGTATGACTCATATTCTGTCTTGGTTTGTTTCTGTATTTCGAAAATATAAGTTATATTTAGTGAATAGGCTGCATATGCTGATGTCTATGTATGGTGGAAAAAGAAACATTGGTGGGAAAGTGGGTTCATCAGAAAAATTGAGAGAAAAGCTGAAGAATCCAATGGAAAAGCTTGAAAATCAGCTTAAGTATTTGCTCCAGTAGGCAAGAGTTACCAGAGATTATCTGAGGCTATTCACCGGTGCAATTGCTCTGAAAATATATTCAAGTCACCACAGATAAATGGGGGGAAAGACCCATGAAATGAAGGCATGATATAATAGAAAGCACAGGAAAACCAATGAATTTCAGATATAAATAATTACCATGGTTAAATGAAAAGTTTTATATCTAACGACTTGGATTAAAGTATCAAATGAAGTTATGCAAAATTAGCCATGGTTATCCTTTACAAAACACTAACTTTACCTCCAATCTTCCATCAGTACTCTAGTCAAAGTTTACCATGCTCCCATCTGTTTAGCAGTCTTTGGCATAAAGACTGAGATAGGAAGATAGCTTCCTATTCCAAGGAACAGGTTTCTAAAGACTCATACACACCACAGGGAATAAAAATGAAAGAAGAAAATAAGGAAATTTTAGAAAGTCACAGATCACTCACAGCAGTTTACGGACCAAAAATCTAATAGCTGTGTGTAAAAATCCCAAAGGAAAACTCTGATTGGGGAGATGTAGAATTTTTACAAAGTACAGTCTTAATCCATTGTAAGACTGAAACTTCTTTCATAGTTAAAGTGAGGCCCCAAGACCCTAGAGCAGTCAAAATCAGGAAAAGGGGGAATTTGCACTAGAAGAGTCAGCTGGAAAAATGCGCATGTGACTGTAAGTGATCCTATGCCAAATAGCAATTGCTTTTTGTTCCACTTAACACATTTAATGTTCCTGTGTTCTTCTTGGTTTGCTGTCATAGCAATTCAGTTGTGCATTGGTAGATGGTAAGTCAGGATAAAAAAAATGCATTACGTTACCTGTCTTTATTCCCAGCTAGTAAACCATTCCTTTGTTTTGAAGCAAATGATGTGATCATTGTATCTTAGTCATGGAGCTATTGCAACTACAGTACTATTGCAACTACAGTACCCAGCTTTACAGCTGGTCCATATTGTTTTGTGGTCTTTCATCTAAGCCAGTCTTGTCACCACAGCAACCATACACAGTCATGTGAAAAGAAAGTACACCCTCTTTGAATTCTATTGTTTTACCACATACTAAAAATCATCTGGTCCTTAGTAGGTCTGAAAATCAGGTAAATACAACCTCATATGAACAGCATGACATATTACACCATGTCATGATTTATTTTACAAAAATAAAGCCAAAATTGAGAATTCAAAGAGGGTGTACTTTATTTTTCACATTACTGTATCTATCTTGTTGCACATTCCATAATACCAAAGTTCAAACTAAGAAAAATCCTGTGCTTTCTCTTCCATCAAGAAAGAGTAAATCATGCTGCTTATGAAAGAAACTAAATATTTGTGAATATATTAAACTAAAGGTTCCCTCCATTCTGTTCCATTTCATAGGTGTGTAGTCCATTCCATATGGGCCATAGATCTGTAGGCCTGGCAAGCTGATATTCCCAGAGGTTTTTTGCCCTGTGTGCTCCTGGACCATAAAAGCAGAGCCTGATTAACAAACCTAAGACTCATAAAGTGTGTTTTAAGGTTCATTTAGGTATTGCAGGTCTTACAAATAAACCCAAATTGTGTATGTTGAAAAGGAATAGTACCGTATGGACTGGCATGGCTGCAACAACATAGCTATTGTTTTGTGGAGTAACAACTCAGTTACAGTCTCATTTCTAAAATACTTGTTGGGAAATCCCATTTCTCATGTTCCTTAATATAACCACCTCTACCGAGTGATTTACGTATCTATTTGCATCATGTTATGGTGATGCAAGATAGTGAAATTTTCAAAGGTTTGTGCCGACACATTTATTTAGTCTTTCTTTTATTCTGCAACAGGTACGGAATGATCTGACCGGTGTCTTGTATGGTGAAGATATTGAAATCTCAGATACCGAAAGTTTCTCTAACGATCCATGCACAAGTGTGAAAAAGCTCAAGGTAAATATAACTATTTAAGTTGTTTAAGAAACAAACTGAGCAATAGAAAAAAATCAGAACAGGTGAATTAAGACTTTAGTGAAAATAAGCATTTCAGACTGCCCTCAGTAGGAAAGCTTACCTTTAGGTGTTTGAGATTAATTACAGAATGCTGTTTATAATGAAGAAATAAACTATGATGTTTGATATTAAATGTAATGATCCACAATTAAGTACTGTAGGTTCTGTAATATTAGAAGTTTTATAAGCAATCATGGCTCAGAAAGCACTGTTAGTATAAGTGAAAGGTGGAGGGTTCTGAGTTCACTGAGTGAATTTCAGTTAGCAAAATGGGTAAAATGGATATTTAGGGATGTATGTGAATATGCCCAAAGGCCATTTCTGTGATGTTTCCTCACTGACCTAATCACCAGAGTAAACATTCCCTAGCTCATTCTAATAAGCACGTGTTGGAATTGTGTGATCAGTTGGCATTTATATGTAAAGGTAATATGTTTCCTGTGACTACATGCTGGAATTAATGCAACTACTGTACATGGAGAGCAAGGCAAACCTAGCAGAAAGAGTACAATCTTCTTGCCGACCTTCCACTGAAATAGCTCTGTGTATGAATGTGCTTTCCTTTTTAATGTGTTTTGCACAAGAAATCTAAATACAATGGCTAAAATCCAGTAGTATAAAGTTACACCGATGTTAGGGTGGATGGCATAAACAGCCATGGATATTTTTCACAAATTAAAATTCTTCAAAGCTCTCTTGGGATGTGTGACACTCTGGGAATCCTTAATTTCCTAAAATCATCACTTGCAGTAAAATCACCTCCATTCCCACAGACCCCCAAGGGCTTACAGAGAATGAAGAGGATCCTAAGGAGGCTGTAACGTGGCTGGCCACTCCGATGTCACTGCCTCCTCAGGCCTCTCTGAATGCCCACCACGCTACTACACACTCTTGCTGCCACCAACCTTTCCTCTAAATAAAAAAGACAAGGGTTTCTTTCAAAACAAAACAGGTTTATTGATTACAAAATAAAATAGGTAAATCACTAGAAGATAATCACGATGTTAATCACTTTCTTATTTAATTAAACACATAGACTTTCCCTCACTGACACTCAGGCACGCAGGCCTCTTTCACTCTCACACTAGATCTCTCCAGATCTCACTCACTCTCAATCTCCCCCTCACACACTCTTCACCCCCCTTTTTATACCAGCTCCTCCCCTTCAGTTCCACCCTCCATCACACCATTGGCTGATGGTTCACTGTCCAGCTGTGACGGACAGGTGAGATCAAGGCTGCCTGTTACAGAGGCCTTGGAATTGGGATGTGTGTGTCAGAAACTTTTAATTAAAAAAATCAGCATTATTAACTTTATGTTGCTTGATTTCAGCCAATTTGTTGCTGTCTTTGTTTTGTGAGACTGCTAGGTTTATAATTCCCACTCTGGCAATTGCCCCACCTACATATTTGTCATCATCTGTCTTTAGGGTGTGTTCTACCTGGTTGCTAAATAGTAGCTTAATATTTTCATGTTTATTATATTAGCCCTTAAGGATTGACCAAAAGTCGTAGAAGAGAAAGCTTCCCTGGTAGGAGGCAGAATCTCTTCTGGTTGACTGATGTTTTATCCCTTCATTGCAAATTCCTGCAGATAAAAAGTAGGGTGTACAAATATAAACTCTTAATGCTATCTTGCTATATTTTTATTTTCTGGATTTCTCAGCAAAGCTAGGCATGAATGCATTAGGTACAATGTATGGCTTTTGAAAATCTGAGGATATGCAACTTCTATAGTGAGCCTATGAAATACATTTTCAAAGAAATTCATTTTAGTAACAATAATTCTTTCCTAATATTTTGATACTTTTAGGTTCTGATCAATTAACCTGGACTATTAAAATTTGTTTAGGTGAATGCAAATTGTATAACTTAAACAATTTAAGCCTATACATTGTGATTGCCACTTTTCCATTTGTATACCTAATTTCTGTGAAATTTGGAGGAAATTTGTTATGCTATCATTCCCTGTTAACTTAAAAAAATCTCCTTAGATGGGCTCAGAAGGCCAAAATCAATCCCACCGCCCAAAACATCACTGCCACTGATATAATATACATTTGAATGCTTTGATAAGACTCAATCAACACCCTTGTCGAATGTGCTTTATTCTTACCCTTAACAGTTTGTGTGAGTGTTTTTAAAAATTCCTTAGAAAAGATAAGGCTTTATCTACATGAGCACTGATTTAGAGCTTTAAAAAAATAGGAAAAGAAAATCAGAATCAGGTTCAGAATACATTCCCATTCAGCAATGTCTTGACATCTCTCTCTTTCTCTTTCGTTCTCTCGCTCTCTCAATTTTATTTTTCAAAGTTAAATTGACTATGGAAAAATCCACTCAGAATCCAGCCTAATCAATTTCACTACCGCAGTGACAATAGAAACAACTGCAATTAGAAATTAAGAAAACAGGCTGAACTGCTTGTTCCCCTTGTAATGAGCCCTCCTATTTCCTTTCTATATCGAGTGTCTGAAATAATAAAGCCACTGCTGCTGGATCTGGGTTAATTCTACAATGGCAGTAAATGAAAATTGTTCTGTTTGTTCCCCAGAAATAATTACCTGGTTCAGACTGACTATTATTTATAAAAGACAGATAACGCTCATTCACAAAAACGTATGAGATAATATATTGTTTATGTATGTATTGATTTGATTTATTTACTGCTCCTTTAATCTTTAATGTCCTTTAAACTCTGGGCGGTTTACAGATTAGAACTAATGCCATACAAGACCCCATAGAACAATACATTCAATATCATGATTCATAGGTATGAGTCTAAATTTTATACAAATGAAGAAGAAGAAAAGAAAGTATTAACAGCGTCCAGGGATAAGTTACTTAAGGCAGCTTTATATAATTCTGTTTTCAGTACAGTTATTTCCTGAACACCAGCAAGGAAGGAGCCTTGAGTATCTCAGTTGGTAGCTTATTCCAAAAAATGAGGGCCACCACCACAAAAGCCCAATTTCTTGTTGTCGTATTTTTGGCCTCCCTCGGTGTGGACACTTTTTGCAACATGGATTGAGAGGAGAGGGTAAAAGCTGATTTCTGAGAGTGATGTTCAGACAAGTATTAAGGTCCTAAACTGTTAAGGACTTTCTAGGTCATAACCAACACCTTGAATTAAGCACAGAAACTGACAGGAAGCCAATGAAGGCATTACAAGACCGGGAATATAGGATCAAATTTACTAGTCTCATAAATCTGTTTGGCTGCTATGTTTTGGATCTGCTGAAGTTTACATACTGTTTTCAAGGGCAGCCCCAAGGAGAAGCCATTATAGTAGTCTATTTTTGATGTTACTAATGCATGAGCCACTGTTATTAGACATTTCTTATCCAGGCAGGGCCACAACTGGGCAATCAATTGGAATTGACAAAAGGCATAAAAGTTGACATTACGTTATAATACAAATTCTTAATAAAAAACAAATCCATCTTTACTATCCTTTGCACTCTGTATCAATGCACAGCTGTGGTAGATAGTTTCTGTTGTTTGGCCTTAAAATATCAATATGGTGATGATGATTATGTGCCATTAAGTTGCTCCTGACATTTGGTAACCTATGAACTTGTCACCTCCAAAAGGTCCTGCCATAAACAGCCCTGCTCAGGTCTTACATACTCTAGACCGTGGCCTCCTTTATTGAGTCAATTTACTTTATTTGGAATTAACTAATGTTAATCACCTCATATTTGGTGCTCCTCTTTTCCTGTTGTTTTTCAGTTTTCCCCAGTACAATTGTCTTTTCCAGTAAGTCCTACCTTCCAGTGTTGTATCCAAAATACAATAGTCACGGTGTAATCATTTTTGTTTCTACAAAGAATTCAGGCTTGATTTGATCTTGCAACCATCTGTTCATCTTTCTGGTGATCTGTGCTATCTGGAAAGTTCTCCTGCAATAGCATATTTTAAATTAATCATTTCCCCTCCATCAGCTTTGTTCACTGTTCGGCTTCCACATCAGCACATGGTAATTGGAAATGCCACAATATGCACCATCATTTGTCACATTAGCAACATTTGGCTAATTCCAATTGCTAATTATATCTAATGTAAATCCATTGATTCAATTGAAGTCCATTAAATCCATTGATTCAGTGGATCTATTTTGTTTGGGACTGACTCAGTGTTAAACAAAAGACAGTAATTTTTGTCAAATTTCTTATTATTTTGTGTGACTGGTTTCATTTTTTTAAAAAAAATATAAGATGAAGAATGTATGAAAGAGAAAGTGGGAACTAATAAATATTCTCTGTATGAAACAGAACTGAGAAAAGAGCAAAATAGGGTATACCAAATCATCACTGAAATATAATAAAGGGATCCAGAGGAGATTATTTTGTCAGTATATTTAGAAAATGAGGAACGCTACTAGTAAGTGGTAGGAGCCCAACAAAAAGAAGCAGTGAAATTTAAAGGGGCTGTCACTTTATTAATAAGAACACATACTGTATATCATAATAACAAATGGTTCCACATAAAGTGGGCTCATGTAGGCCTAGTTCTCACTGAAGTAGCAAGCTTTTCTCTGCATTATATAACTTCAAAGTATAGGTGAAATATCATGTGATTGATAGTCTGTCTTATCCAAAGCAGTTCGCTCATATAAACTGTTTATATAAAAAGGAAGCATTTTGTTTCTGCCTATGTTTCTATTTAAAACAAAGCTGTGCAACCGTTGAGGGCTGGAAGCTGCACACATTGATCCATGGACATTCTGGGTACCACAAAATTGTAAAGACAGGCAGAAGCTTAGTTAACTCCCCCACTCCCATAAATATGCTCTCTTGCTCTCTCTCTCTCTCTCTCTCTCTCTCCCCATTGGAGAGAAAAAAACACATTAGTTTAAATTAGCATACATATTTGTATAGACATAAGTTAAATAAAGAGCAACCGCAGAATTGCAATCAGTATCAGCCACTTCAGTCACTGGTGTTTGATACCTGGAAGAGGAAAAGAAGAGCAGGAAAACTAATCTTAAAAGTCCACCTCGCCCAAGAACTGCTGATGTGCCTCTGAAACATCTTAAGACCTTTTCTCAAGAATCATCATCAATCTTGTTGTTTCACTATTCCATACTTTTCATCTAAGTTTAGTTGGAGGGGGGGTGTTTAACGTCTCTACCAATATGATTTTGCTGTGGAGCAATCTTCATTTATTTACAGCATTAGCCTAGTTTGAGCTGTGATTGGCATAGAAGTGGTGCGTCCTTCTCATGCAGGGGCTCCCTCTTCAATCAAGGGAGAGTCTCCACAGAATACTCCTTGGCGCCACTCTTGTCACTGCTCTGTATGGGATTAGGCACACATCAGTCCCTGCTTGAATGCCACATAAAGGTTCTCTTCCTCATAATACCATATCCGATTCTCCATTGCCCAGGAAATGCAGCTATTCCTTCTGAGTAGTCATGTGCCATCCTGTCTATAAAACTATTGAATTATTTTCCTCCTCCCAAGTCTCAGCTAACATGCAAAAGGAAAGAAAAATACGTCCACAAATGCTTTCTGCTGTGTAGAAGCTCTGTGTTATTACCATGCATTAGGAGCAGTGAGGTTTTATTCTGCTGTATTTGAACCTGCAGCCTATCCCTGGTTAAAAAGACAGAGCCATGAGGCTGTTTCCATGTGTCTTTTGTCTACAAGGGTCCTCCCCAGATGTGTGTCTGAATGTATACAAATGAAAGAATAGCTGATACCTTCTTGCATTTGCATTTTGTCTTGTATGGACTACATGGCTCCCCTTTATTTCAACGAATATATACACTTTCAGAGACACATGTTTATAAGGACCTTTGAACATTGGCAATACCTGGGATAACAAATCTGTCCCAGGAAGAAGAAGGCAAAGGCCATGTCATCCTCAAGATTACACAAATATGAGAGTGGATGGTACTGTTTATTGGATCACTAAAAATACCAAACAAAATGAAAGCTTGCAATTTGTTTGATTTTTTTTTAGTGGTCCAATAAAAAATAACACCCACGCTTACATTTGTGAAATCTGTTTCTTAGACAAAGTAATTATCTAGCTAGCTAGCTAACTAACTAATTATAATAACCACTCTTTGCAGAATAGTTTGCTCACATGAAACATCCAGTTTCAAATTACAGAAATTCTAACAAAGAACCAACAAATATATATTCATCAAATAGAATACGAAACAAATGAATGAAGAATAAATGAATGCATCAGATTCAAGAGCTAAGGAAACAGCTTTGAAGGCTGCATTTGCTGTTCAAAAGGAGGCTGATGAGAAGCTAGGCTGCAGCTGCCGAGGCTAGATCAGAACAGTTTGAGGTTGTGGTTCCAAGGGACATCTCTGAAGCTTCTGGCAGAGAAAAATGGAGAAGGTGATGAGAAGAGGGGATGAAGAGGTTGAGAACCAGAAACCCAATCTTTCAGCATGCATACAAGGTTATCAAAGAAAAGAGAGTTTTTTAAGAGGTGGATTCTGCTTTGTGTAAGGAAATGGCCTACAGAAAATAGGATTGGGATTCAGAGCTGCCTTTCCTGGGTTGCTGTTGCATCTTTGTTAAAGACAAATTGGGGTGGAGAAGCAGTCTTGCTGAAGGGACAGGAGCCCTGGGGAAAGTGCCACATGGGCCACTGGTGCAGCCAAAGTGAGGGCCCAAGGCGAAACTGCTAAGGAGTATCTCTCTGTTTTAGTCCTGACTTCTGGGGAAAAGCTACAGTATTTCACATAGTGGGTTCAGCAGAATAAAACAGGGGATTTTCAGCTGTCAAAGTGACTCAATTATTAAAGTGTTTTTTTAAATTGAGGTAAAGTGAGCTGGAAAACAAGACTGGCTGTTGATGCTACAGTGAGGATACTTTCTGTGCATTAATATATGTAACTGCTTGGGATCAGCTGGTTCATCTCCTGAGCCTAATAAGTAACACGTGATGCTACTTTACTATTCTAAACAATGCTGCAATTTAATACTTTATTTTGACATTCCATTTATGTGTGGATGCAAAATGGGGTTTGTAGTTGTGAAGAAGAAGAAATTAATTATTTTAAGACCATCTAAGTATTTTCAAAGAATAGTTATCCAATATAAGGTGCTAAATAGAATTTGCAATAAGGAGGTCTGTCATGCTTATAATGTATAAGAGGAGTTTGGAATTAGGCTATTCCAGAATGGATGGAACTTCATTAATATATGTTTTTCCTGTAGGGAAATGATGTTCGAATTATACTTGGACAATTCAATGAAGAAATGGCTGCAAAAGTATTCTGCTGTGTAAGTAAAACAGGTCTGGAGAAAATAAGTAGTGTTACGTGTTCATATAACTTATTTAAATTAGATATTTGTTAGTTAATTTCATTTGTTATCAAATTGGGGAGATGTTATTATGGCAAGAGGCAGATTCCATATAGTTTGTTGGTTTGACCTATTTAATTAATGTATTTAGTTTAGACTATTAATAAAGTGCAAAGAGCGTTGTAAAAACTGCACAAAAAATGAGATGCATGATTAAGCCTGACCTGGTATCTACACATTTTCATCATCTTAAATCCCATTTAAAAACTTAAAGATAAATTAAACATAGAGATATTCAAGTTAACATATAAAAATATTGATGAAGTATATGCAGTGTGATCCTCTACTTGAGTTCATATTAAAAGAAGTCCCATGGAGATGATCAAGGTATAGAATTACAGTCTAAATCTAGAACAGCAGTTCGAAGCTGTAAATCAGCAGATTTTTCATGATTACATCAGCTAGTAGTGTATGTCTCTGTAGAAAATTACTGAAATAAACAAGAAAAGTGTGTTGAATAAATTGTTCAATAATTTTATTGCAAATTTAGTGATAAATTGTAACTTCCTTTTAAAATGGAGCCCTATGTTTAGTTATTTGAGTCAGTTTGCCTTTCATTCTTCTGCTCTGCAAATGTATCCATTATGGAGAAGTTAGGTTCAACTTTACTATCAACTAAATAAGCACAGAGTTGTGTGAAGGTCTCTAAGTGTTGTGTCACAGCTCAAAACAAGAATGCAAAATTAGTTTTTGAGATGTGATGTACCTTTTTTTCATTAAAAATTGCTACCCTTTGTTTCCACTGTAGGCATTTAATGCACAGATGTATGGCCCGAAGTATCAGTGGATAATTCCTGGTTGGTATCAGACCTTCTGGTGGGAAAAAGCAATTCCAAAGCTTAATTCATCACATTGTCTCAGTACAAATGTTCTCAGTGCTATGGAAGGTTACATTGGAGTGGATTTTGAACCTCTCAGTTCCAAACAGATAAAGACCATTTCTGGAAGAGTGAGTCAATTTTCTTGCTATCATGGAACACTTGAAATCATCTTCAAAATTACTTTCTTTTTGCCAGTGGATTGTCACTTGAATGCAGTATCTGTTATTGATTTGTTATCATAGCAAATTTATAACCCTGAACCTTGAGATGGCATTACAAAAATGGGGGTTAGGATGGAGAGTGGGTTCCTCAGACAGGGCTGGTTGGGGTCTCTGTTACAGTCATGAAGTTATGGTAAAGGTAAAAGTTCCCCTTGACATTTTTTAGTCCAGTCGTGTCCGACTCTAGGGGGCGGTGCTCATCCCGTTTTCAATCCGTGGAGCCAGCGCTTGTCCGAAGACAGTTTCCGTTGCCACGTGGCCAGCGTGACTAGGGAACACCATTTTACCTTCCCACTGAGGTGGTACCTATTTATCTACCTGCATTTGCATGCTTTCAAACTGCTAGGTTGGCTGGGACAAAGCAACGGGAGCTCACTCCGTTGTGTGGATTCAGTCTTACGACTGCTGGTCTTCTGACCCTGCAGCACAGGCTTCTGTGGTTTAGCCCACAGCACAATTAAATGTTACAGATGCAGCATGACTATAACATGACTTCATGACTTCATGACTATAACAGTTATTTTGGGCCCTCCAATTATTTTAAGAAGATAATTCGGGTTTCAGGTTGGATCTCAGTTTGGGCCAAAGCAATCTGTGTCCCATGCTCTTCTACTTGTGCCCTGGATCTGAATTAATTTATACATTTGAATCATCAGCCTCCCGTGAACTGTAAAACCAAAATGGCTATAACATTTTCATTTTTGCACCCATATACACCAGATTGGTTTATATGATAGATTCTAAAAAGAAACATAAACTTGCCAAATTTCAGACAGCTAGCTTTATGGGTGTGTACATTGGGCACCTTGAAATTTGCTGTTTCCAAAAGGCAGACTATAGTTCTGAGTATTCAGTATTAACCATTCAAATTGTGGTAGTCCTCTCTGCCCCCTAATTCTGGCATCACCTTCCTACAACCCTTGGAAAATCCCCAAGTTTACAACTTGAAACATTGAAAGACCACACAGTGGATGCAAAATCAAAGATTATATTTCAATTTGAGAATGTCCTCTTGGTGGGGAGGACCATGCTGGAGCTCTAATGAATATTTTTTCAGACTTCAGAGTGTCATTGAGTAGTACAAGAAAAACTAACGGTAGGAGTATTTCACTAAAAGGCAGATTGCATACATATGTATATACACATTCACGTTCACAAATACCTACTCAGAGAAAGTGCATCAGATACCTAAAAACTAAAACCAGTGGTGATAGGAGGGATAGAATAAGCTTCACTCTCTAAAGGCACTTCCAGTTGGGGTCATTTGCATTGCCTTTTTCTAACCCCCTTTGTTTTGTATTGCCTGGATTGGATTGCCTGGATTTCACCAGGATTTGTTTCTTAAATCTGACTTCCCCATCCTTCCCCTGCCCCTCCCATGCTGGAGGTGTAGAACAATTTACAGCAAAGGAATGGGAGCTGCTTCATGATCCCCTTTTTCCTCATGTTTCATTGCCTCAAGAAGTAAAAGCAACATGGGAAAGCAAAAGTAAAAGTGATCTCTCTCTCTCTCTCTCTCTTTAAAAGTGGATTACTGCAACAGATGGCCTGCTGGGAAGAGTTTGCAGACAAAATCACTGGCATCTGCTATGACTTAGATGCTGTAGTTCAGTGGTTCTTAACCTTTGTTACTCGGATGTTTTTGAACTGCAACTCCCAGAAACCCCAGCCAGCACCGTTGGTGGTGAAGGCTTCTGGGAGTTGCAGTCCAAAACTCCTGAGTAACCCAAGGTTAAGAACCAGTGCTGTAGTTGACGCAGGTCCTCTTGATGTAACTTTGGCCCCTGCATTTCTTTTTACAATGGATACGTTTCAGTCTGTGTTGTCTGGTGATGTGGGCAGAATCATTGGAGAAGTGAAAGTCACCGCATATGTGCTGTACCTTTGCCTTTCCTGGCTTATAAAAGCAGCCAGAGGGGGACTGACAGAGGGGGTAGAGGGAGTGGTAAATGCCTCCTTGCAGCAAGGCAGGGTATCACCATGTCTAAAGGAGGCAGTAGTAAGACATTTGTTTTAAAAAGCCCTCCTTGAATTGCACTATATTGGATAATTATTCGCCAGTCTCAAATATTCCACATTTGAGCAAGGTTTTGGAGCATGGAGCAGTATCCCAGCTCCAGAGGTTTCTGGATGATACAGATTATCTAAATTCATTTCAATCTAGCTTCAGGCCTGGTTACAGCACAGAAATGGCTTCGGCCACCCTTGTGGTCTGGGGGAGTGTACCCCTGTTGGTTCTGCTGATCCTCTCAGTGTATTCTGGGATGCTACTTGGAGGTACAAAGGTTCTGATCTTTTCTGGATGGCCAAATTCAAAAAGTGATGTTGGGGGAATCCTGTTAGACTCTCTGGCCACTTGCCTGTGCATTCCCGAAGGGTTCAACCTCTGTATGAAACTGCCCGGAGAGGTTGTGTGAAGTTTTGGAGTCTGGTGCCATCAGTATGCTGATGACGCCCAACTCTATCTCACCTTCCCATCTTATTTTTTTAATAAACATTTTATTAGTTTTTCAATCTATCTACATTGTTTTGTGCTTATCAAACATCATGTTACATGTTTTGCTTACAATTATTTGTTTTTTACATCTCAGTGTCTTCCCAGTTATCCCCCCCCCAAATTCCAGACATCTTTCAAACATTCCAACCATTCATGTACGTATTTTAGTATATAATATTGGCTACTATCATAATATTACTTTCATAGTGTACAATATTCTCAAGATCTTCTAATAACATACTTAATAAAAGTAGTTCCAGATCCATGCCCCAACCTTATATCTAGTTTAATTTACCTAAAAAGAAAACCCAGCATATTATGTCTTTACCCTGGTTAGTGCTCCCTTATTTCAATTTAATTCTCCTTTTTTATATAAAGGATATGCTCCTTTACAATTCCCGAAATTAGATATATACATGCTTTTCAACATTAAGGGCCTCCTTCCTATTTTTCCCCTTTTCATCTTTCTAAGTAATTCCCTCTCTTATTTCTCTTTTTTCACTTTTTGTTTTTGTCTCTTTAAGCATTCTGCCATCTTTCATGCCCTCTGAAACCATTTTGTGCATCTGATTTATCTCCACTAGATCTTTATGCACTTGGTCTATCTTCAATAGGTCTTCCAGGCTTTTTAAAATTAATTTTGCTGGTTTTCTCCCCTTGTCTTCCCTTAATACTCTCTTCAGATTCAAAGATTAAAATTGTTTTTCTTAGGTTTTCCCCATTAATTTCCTCCAGCT